CAACATGATGTAAAAATCGAATATGGGAAGTCGCAGGAAGTTTCATCGGTGGAATAATTGGGCAATGTTGTGGGAAATGTAAAGGTTCAGACAAAGGGGTCGGACGTATGAAACAACAGCACGGGTACAAAACATTCAGGTTGTCAGATANCCCCCCCAAACTTAACTCCCAACCAATGTGGGACTTTGGCATTTTGCCAAACTTCAACAATAATAACACATAAATAAATTACTAATAATGGCGCCCTGAACTTGCTCCTATAAAATCGCTTATACGCTAAAAAAGAAATAACAATTTGACTCAATCTAATCCTGTATAGAACTAATCATTAGTCAACGCAACCCCAACACGTGCTTCTCTGAGTTCACAGATAATCAAAATAAGAGCAGATCACATTTTTACTCATTTGTTAATCTCTTCTTAAACTGTTAATTAAATGCAGTTATATTTTGTTTCTGAACTAAGGGATATTCCTGTTAAGAGATTGCTTGACAAATGCATGTGATGATATATTAAATTAAGGATAACTCATAAATATCATTTGCGTATATATGATCCTTTCTAACAAAAATAAAATAAAATTTAAGTCACATTGCTGATTTGATCTCGTTCGATTTTCTATTTCATAACTGTTTTCTCCACTAAATGACGGACACGTAAATGCAATCAATTTTCAATATATTATCACAAGCAATGATTTCTCCAAACTTGCGACCTTCGTTTTTCGTAATCGACATTAGACAATTTTCATACTCGCACTCAAGCATCAACTAATTTAAATTTGCGTAATAATACGGTTCATTAAAAGGGTAAAGTACCTTCAACCACGATTTTTATATACTTATGACTCAACTACTCGAGACCTCTAATTAAAAATAAAGGAATCTTATCCATCCCGCCAGATCCCACCGCAACTAATTCTTGCAACCTATGCTCACGGCTCTATCCCTTCTTCCTTCATCTTTCACAGCATTTATGGGCCTAGCCACTTCAATATATCTTTTTATTAAATGAAAAAGGAACTATTATAAAGAAGGTATAGATGAAACGAATTTTTGATTAATTTTAAAAATGATGTCATGGAAATGAAAACCTGCAAAGAATAATGAAATTAATTAAAAGGACAAAGAAGCACAATGAGAAGAAATATTCTTGAAATCTTGGATGTCTCTATTTTTTTTTAGCTCGCTTTACTTTTGTGTTTTAAAATATTACTCCAGTTGGAAGGAGCTCCTGAATAATGTGATTAATTAATCATTAATTAATTCGTTGAGAAGCTGGAGACGCCTATAAATATGGCCCTTTCATGAAGCAAATAATTGCACACAAGAACACATTGATTGATCTCTCCCCTCTCTCTCTCACTATAGTAGTATTCTATTTCATTGTTGCCCTACTGATAGCTTTTGGTAAATGATTTTTTTTCTACCTCTCGCTTGCTTTCTTTATGGTGCATTTACACATGTTTAATATTTTAGTACATATTTTTTGATAATAACTAGAAGCAGACCCAGGATTTGAGCATCATGGGAACACCACTTTAAGAATAAAAAAATTATGCATTGTAGGAACCCGGATTCAAACCTGGGTCATCAAGAGAGTGAAGGTACTTCAAGCACTTCTACAAAACCAGCTCCTCTATCCAGATTTTGTGATTTTAAGGGGCCGCATAAAATATTTAAGGGGTCCTCAGTGTATATAAAGAAATATATATATCTAGAGTCTTTTTTGCCGAAGCTAACGAATTCCGGTGACCCTCATCCCCCAACGTAGGTCCGCCCCTGGTAATAACCTGTGAATATTACCATTAACAACAAAACTTCTAGACCTCAAACTGGCAAAGAACAATCAAACTAATTACATAATCTTTGAATCAAACATTGGCATATAGGCTCTTTTTGAATAGTGCAGTAAATCTATCCTTTCCCTAATCTCTCTGACTCTCTCTCTAAATATGTGCTATGACAAAATTGGTATTTACAGTAGGATTCCTGAACAACTTCCAATTCCTGGCTTACCATGTATAATAAATCATTGCACCCCACATTATTGCAGCCATTAATTATTTCTTTCTTGACTGTCTCTGGTGTTTTCTTTTAGTACATATTAAGCATGGAATATATATCTATGTGCATTTTTGGTTACGTTTAAGAATAATGATACATTGATTATGACATTTGTCTTTTCTATGAAATACTACTATGTATACAGTTTATTTGGCTCCAAAAGTAGTTGGTATGAGAGAGGTGGTGCATGATATATATAGGAAGACTGGAAATGAAACTAGCAGCTCATCCCAGTGGAGTAACTTGCTTCAGAAAATGCAGCTCTGACCATGACTGCACTGATGGCTGGTTCTGTAGGCAATGTAGCAATGATGGTATTTTACACACCAACGCATGCGATACCTCCTAATTAAGGGATCAACTCGATCCACATGAATTCTGCTAGCTGCTTCTAAAAATGAAAATTAGATATTGCTTGTGTGTTATTCCTTATTGTCTTTTCTTTTCGGCCTTTTTTTTCTCCTTTTCAGTTTTGTTTAACAACAATTACATACCCAATATTGTAATCCTATATAGTGGGCCTGAGGGTAGTATATACGTAGACCTTACACCTCCCTTGTGGAGGTAGAGAAGTTATTTTTAATAGACCCTATTTAAGATTAGGACAATGTGGCTGCGGCTGGATCTTACATCAAGAGTTGGGCATGGTCTATAACTATTTCTGCATTTGTACTTTTAATTTAAAATCTCTATATATCATTCTGCTGCTTATCACAAATTAAACTGTGTTGCTTCTTTACTGTAGTTTCTTTCATATACACGCTTATGTATGGTAATATATACATATAGTGTGAAGGTGAAAGAGCATAAGTAAGAAGAAGAACTGAGGTAGCATCCAACTGCCATTGGGACTGTCATTAAACAAATAACTGAACAGAAATGACGCGCCTAATTAAGCAATCAAATTCAGAACTAGAATTTCTGACAAAAGTGAAAAAGGAATAACAATAAGCAAAAGGCCTAAGACATGAAAAAACGTATAGTCTCTTTGAAAATTCAGTTCTCTGAGTCTCTAAAAATAGTGTTTCCTTGAGCAATTTTCACAACAAAAAGAAAAAAAACAAAAACAAAAACAAAAGAGGAAGTCATCTTAGATGATTTTTTTTTTAATTCGAACCGGGTGTTTACACTAAATCAATGCATAATATATATTTGAACATATACTACTGTACTATTAGTTAACCATGGTTAAGTAATGCATATTTTTACTTTATTTAACTATGATTAGTTGAATTGATTTGGTTTAAACCCTGGTGCAGGAAAATAAGTTTTTTGAGGGCATTGATACACAAATTGAAATGCTTTGAGGTTAATATCGCAATATAGATAAATTTCAAGGATGTGGTTGTAAATATACATTTCCCCAAATTCTATGCCCTCCCAGGCTCCCCTAACCCGATTTTGGTTCACTCGATCATAGCCGCTCGCCGTCGTACGAATCAACCTTCTCCACCTCCGTCGCCCACCATTCTCCGCCACCAGCTTCTCCTCGTGTTTTCCGGCGCTTACTACTAGGCTGATTAGGAAACTGATAAGTTTCTGGTCAATAGCTGAGCTAAAAAAATCCAGTTGAAGATGAATTCTTGATGATTAAGTGAATTTTTGTCCAGTTTGCTACTAAAGGTACAAGCTTTTTAATTTAATTTTATTTTTCCTGCTGATCGTATTCTTATTTTGTGGGTAGTACTTTATTTCCTAGAAATTTTAAGTTTGATATGGTTAACTGAGTTTTTTTTAGAAGCATTTTATTGCTGGAATTTCTGAGAATTAGTGACAATTAATAAAAATGGGCCTTGTTTGAAGTTAAGTGAGTTTTAGCTTTTCTGTTGCTTGAATTGTTTTATTGTTTATGTTGGATTAACTTAGTACGCTTATATTTGGTTATCGTTCAATTCAGATTTTTGGTTTTATTAAATAACCTGCCTAGAATATTTGATCTCATGGTAAGTTTTCTCAGGCATCTCCGATCTTTACCCCATTTTTGGTCCCCAAAATGAGTTTTGGGGGATTTCCCCATTTTGGGAACAAGTTACTCCAACCATTCCCCCATTGTTTCTCCCAAACTTTTTTATATTCTTATCTCTCTTCTATATTATATTATTATCTTTCATTTCAATTTTATTTTTTAATTTTCATTAAACAAATTCCATCTTTTATTTTTATTAATTTGCAATTTCCATTAAAACAATTTCATAAAATTTTAAATAATATAATTTGTAAGCAATTATTATAGATTAACTAATAATTCAAATAAAAGTGAAATCATTGTGATACAAGATTAATTAAATACATATTACATAACGATAAAATTCATTCGAAATAGTACATAAATATTCAACTGCAACTTCTAGTATTCTCCCATAAATGATCTATTAATGCATTACGAAGTGCAAAATGAGCATCTTTGTCCTTAATTCTTCTATGTGCAAAATGAGCATCTTTGAGATAATTATATATTTTTTGTACAATTATAACTTATAATAAAACTAACTTACAATTTTACACAAAAATAATAAATGCACGAAAATTAATTTATCAAAATTATACACCAAAGTTAAGATGTAAAATTAATATTATAAAGACATTACATAAACATAATTAGGTATATATAAAGAGATAAATTAAAAGATTAAATAATAAAATAATAATAAAAAAGTGATGAATAGTAATGGGAGAGATGAATAGTGTACCCCATATTTGAGGGAACACTATTCATCCCCCATTTTGGGGACAAAAATGGGGGAGGGTTGGAGCTAAATTACCCCAAAAATTGCCCCCATTATGGGGAATGGGGGTAAGGTTGGAGATGGCCTCAGAAACATAGCGCAGAGTTCTATGAGATATGAGTTAAAGTACTTCTTCAGCCAACCCGATTCGATAATCGTGGAGCTATGGAAACCTAACTTGAGTTATGTCTCGTTATGTGCTTTACCATTCTGTTAATGTATGATTTTCACTAAAGTGGTGCTTTTAAGTGGACCATCTTTGAGCCTATTTTTAACTTTGGAGGGTCGAAGCAGGAGCAGCTTGGGGTTGAGGCATAGGGATTGATTGCGGACAGGGGAAGTGGGCTATGAAAACCGACTGATCAGCCGTTAAATTAGATAATATTATACGAAGTAGACAGTCTTTTTCTGTAAAAAAAAGAAAAAAGAAAAAGCGAGAGAGAAAGAAAAAGATAGGATATTGAGTGATCATGCTGAGGCAAAATTCTTCCCAAGAAAGCGGAGTAGTTTCATTGGAGTGAAAGACTTTCAGGCTTCTACTGTGAAAGCTGCAATATCATGTTTGTTTGGTGTTACTGCTGCTATTGTAGTGTGCTTTTTGGAAGACCAAAAGGAATGAGATTGGCTCGTGTACCTCAAAGATCATTTTCTTTAGCGCGAAAAGCACCATTGGTTCTCTTCTTCATGCTACTCTGACTCTTTTAGACCATTCTTGTCTCCCAATTACATGTTTTATTTTCACTGCTACTTTTATGGGTCTAGCAGATTAGTCATGCTTATTTTCTGTGCCCTTTATCCGTGCATGTGCCAAATTGGTCAAATCATAAGATTTTATAGTGTGTGCTTCTGTGTTTTATCTGCTGCCTCAGATTGACATGGAGATCTGTTTTCTCTGGGTAAGATGGTAGCCACTCTCTTCTGAGTATTCCAAAATGACAAATCAAATATTAAAATCAATGAGAATTTCGCTGCTTTTCTATCTTGCACTCCATCATAGTGGATGATGAAGAATCTGAAACAGGTATGTTTAATATTAAGACGACTGTGTTTGTGTATCGTTAGAATTTTCTTGGGCTCTCAATATCTCTCTTTGGACCTGTTTTATTTTTATTTAAATTCTAGCTTATGCTGGCAGGATGGGTGGATTCTTTACGAAATAAAATGCGCCTACTGACTATACATTTGGTTCAAGTAATAAGATCAAAGCCTGGAGGAAAAATTGAGAAAATATGTTTGATTATATTGTATCTTGAATGAGAAAGAATATAAGGATGTGTTTGCGCATATATATTTTTCGAGAGTCTCCTTTGGAGATGTGGAAAGAGTGGTTTCTTTTGCATTTTCTTTTCCTAGTGCATATGCATGTCCATTGGGACACGTTGTTGGTGTTCTCATGCTCAGATAAGTTGAAGCAAGTTTGCTAAAGAAGGATGCTTCTTCTCAAGAAATTTAACTGGTTCCTGCATTTCGTATCGAAAAGAAATTCTTGTTATAAAGGAAAATCCTCTTTTCCATGTAGCTTTTTCTCTAAATGTGCCTGCTGTCATTTTCTCTTGCACTTTTATCCGTCCTCATACGCTTCAGTTTTACTACTTGCCACCTTTATCTTGATTTTAAGTAAACCTGTCTAACTCTGATCTCCTTTTCAAATCCCATATACCACGTAATTTGGAACTCAGTCTATTGAGTTTTTCAAATGTGGTGACGTTTTTACTATATCTGAAATTTCCCCTCCCAAATTGGATACTTTAAAAGAAGGTTGCAACTGATTCAGAAAGAAGCTGTTTTCTTTATTTACTTCTTGTCAACATCATCGCCATGCTGGTTTCAATTCCATGTTTCAGATGGAGGCAGTTTGTCTTAACAGTGACCCAGTGTTTGATGACTGTGAAGAATATGAGGACGAAGAAGACTGCTCCGTGGAGGAACATGATGATGGAGTTCATGAAAAAGATTCCAAAAAGGAGTCCCCACAACCAACTATCGGTCTGGAATTTGGGTCTTTTGATGAAGCATATGATTTTTATAACAGGTATGGCAAGGAACAAGGATTTGGTATTAGAGTGAGCAACTCTTGGTTTAGATCAAAAAGGAAAGAAAGATATCGAGCAAAACTCAGCTGCAGTAGTGCAGGTTTCAAGAAGAAAAGTGGAGCAAATCATCCCAGGCCAGAAACAAGAACTGGTTGTCCTGCAATGCTAGTAATTAAGCTTGCGGACTCAAAAAGATGGAGAATTGTTGAAGTTGAGCTTCAGCACAATCATCCAGTAAGCCCAGAGGTCAGGCGGTTCTATAAGTCGCATAAGAAAATGATTCTCGCTGACAAAAAGCAGCAGGAATCCATACCTATTACAGAAGTACATACCATTAAGTTATACCGCACATCTATTGATGCTGCATGTAATGGATTGCAAAAAATCAAGGACAAGGATAGTAGGTTTCCTGTTGATACCTCAAAGCATTTGGAGCTTAAAGAGGGGGATGCCAATGCACTGTATAATTATTTTTGTCGAATGAAGTTGACAAATCCAAACTTCTTTTATCTGTTGGATCTTGATGATCAAGGATGCCTGAGAAATGTGTTCTGGGCTGATGCTAGGTCTAGGGCTGCTTTTAATTATTTCTCAGATGCAGTTGCAATTGATACAACAAGCTTGAGGAACAAATATGTACTTCCTCTTATTTCTTTCGTTGGAGTAAACAACCACGGACAACCTGTTTTGCTGGGATGTGGTTTTCTTGGACATGAGTCAGTAGAGTACTTTATTTGGATGTTCAAATCATGGCATACGTCTATGCTAGGAAGACATCCACAAGTTATTGTAACTGATCAGTCAAAACCATTGCAAATTGCGGTTTCTAAGGTGTTCCCTCAAGCTCGTCATTGTTATTGTTTATCATATATCATGCAGCGTGTTCCAGAGAAGTTGGGAGGATTGGACGGATACGAGTCTATTAAGATGCAACTGTATAAAGCAGTTTATGATTCCTTGAAGATCACTGAGTTTGAAAGTTCGTGGGGTCAGATGATCAGTCAGCATGGACTCAAGGACAATAAATGGCTTCAATCATTGTACGAAGATCGTGAAAAATGGGTACCAGTCTACTTAAAAGATATTTCCTTCATGGGAATCATACCAATAACAGAAAATGAGAGCTTGAATGCATACTTTGATGGTTATGTACATAAACACACTTCATTCAAAGAATTTGTTGATAAGTATGATTTAGCGATGCAAAGGAAGCACATGAAAGAAGCAATGGCAGATATGGAGTCGAGAAGTTTGAGCTTTGAGTTGAAAACAAATTGCAATTTTGAGGTGAAGCTCTCAAAGATATTCACAAAGGAAATATTCAAGAAGTTCCAAGCAGAAGTTGAAGGAATTTACTCTTGTTTCAATACAAGGCAAGTGAACATTAATGGGCCAATAATGACATTTGTTGTGAAAGAAAGAGTAGAATCTGAGGGAAGCGAGGTGGAGGTCAAGCTGTTTGAGGTTCTTTATGAGACAACACAAGCGGAAATACGTTGTATTTGCAGTTTGTTTAATTTCAAAGGTTATTTATGCAGGCATGCATTGAATGTACTGAATTATAATGGTGTGGAAGAAATTCCATCACAATACATCCTACCACGTTGGGATAAAGATTACAAACGTAAGTTTCCAGTAGATTCTGGCCTTTGTCATATTGATGTGAATAATCCTGTGGAATTGTATAATATTCTACATAAACATGTCATGCAAGTTGTTGAAGAAGGGGTACAATCCGAAGAACATTACAAAGCTGTACTCCAAGAAGTAGAAGCTCTTTTGAGCAGGTTTTCCCTTGAAGACAACAATTTGGTTTCACTGTAATATTTGACATAGAACATCCAATACAGAATTAGAGTGCATCTGTGTGCATAATATAAACATCACATGTCCTGATCATGAGCTTTGCCCCTTTATACATACTCAAGAATGGAATTGAGGTATTTTGAAATTGCATAATTATCTGTTATACAGGCAGTGGAAGGCCAGATTAAATGGGTAGAGTTTTTGCATGACATTTTTGTATATTTCCTCTATAAACAAAGACGAATGACAGGTAATATTTCGCGAATACCCTTTACTGGCGAGTCGAATGTTTTCTGGAAGCAGAGTAATAAATGCATACCGTCATCAATATTTGTGACGTCTTAGATGTGAAGAAAACGAAATAGTTGGTTATTCAATCCCTTAAAATTATGTTGGACTTTGAAGTCAAATAATTTGTTTAGGATTAAAGATGAAGGTAAATCTTTCATCTATTTGTCAAACTTTTTATCACTTATACTACTAGAAAATTGTTGTTTATGTATTCAAATAGAGTATACATCTTGAAAGTGTTGTTATACTCAACCATGCGTGGAAGGAAAATAAAAAATGAGATACTTCATCATAGTTCACAAGACTTCTCAAAAATGAAACAAAATAGTAAAAATAGCACGGTATAGCGAGTTTTCGGACTTGTCATTCAAAAATAGCCAGCGTTTACGAAGTCAATGAAAAATAGTCATTATTTTGCTGCAACAGAGATCGGTCCAGCATAATATACTGGAGTTCGGTGCACCTGTGTATGAACTCTAGCATATTATGCTGGACTGATATACTTTGCTGACTCAATATAATATACTAAAGACTGGAGCACCGGTACTCCAAACTCCAGTATATTATAATGGACAATTATACTTGCTGGAACTCCAGTATATTATGCTGAAGTTCTAGCATACTTATGCTGGAACTCCAGTATAATATGCTGGAGTTCAAGCATACTTATGCTGGAACTCCAGTATAATATGCTGGAGTTCAAGCATACTTATGCTGCCGTATTTTTCGAGTTTTGAACAGTGTTTTCGCTCAGATTTATCTTTACATGAAAAGTGGCTAAATTTCAATTACTTTTGAAACTGGGCTATTTTGAACGACCAGTTGAAAATCTAGCTATTTTTGAATTTCTCCCAACAAAATAAGAAGAAAAAAAGGCAGCTAAATTTTTATTAACCTAATATATAAGCAAGAAGGATATTGAAAAGAGAAATTTGCTTATTTTGTGGCTACAAATAGAGAATTCTGTCCTACTGTGGAATCTTAAACGACTCTCCTACATCAGCAGACTGAGATTCATCTTTGATTTGTCAACCGCTGGAAAGGGCAAGGGCTTGAAAAACAGTTTGCAAAAAATTGAAATTACTTATCCTAAAAATGTTCTGAAATATTCTTTAATAAACGCCACCTGACAACCTTCCTTGGCCTTGTATAAGTAAATACATAGAGACATAGGGCAAGCAACAGAACATATTTCACCAAAAGATTGCATATTCGAATAAGATCAAGATGTATTTCAACACAGATATTAAGCCAAGATTCAATCATGTATTATTTGACCCCTTCATTTTCTTTACAGGAGCCGAAATGATAAAATTCACTATACATTCTCAAGCCAAGAGTTTTAGCTTGCTTATAAGCTTAAGAAATTCAAGAATTAATATAGATGCCACATTTCAAGCATGAGACCATACCAAAAGACGCATCTAAGCTTTACCTCCAGATGAATTAAGATCAACGATTTGCACATTGGTGGACTACAATAAAATGTTCCAGGACAAAACAGTTGATGTAACACTGATCGAGTAATCCTCATTTCAAACAAGTTGGAAGTGTAAGCCCATGACAAACGAAGGCCAAAATAACATAAACTATCACAAGGAGGAGGAATATCAGCGCCACCCTGTAAAAATCAAACATCACAATGAAGCATGGTGAAAAAGATTAAACAATAAAACATAAAAAGAAAAAGAAAATAACATGAAGCTGGCGAGTCCTTTAATCTAATCGAGCTAGAACCACCATCAGGAACAAAGTAAAAATATTTTGAGAGAATGAGTATAGCATAAAACTATGAGATCTTCTGTATACATGGTTCCACTGTTAGAATCTTCACAACATTCACACTGTTTAAGAACACATCATCATAAGGAGAAAGGACAGGAGCCATGAAAAATATGACAAGTGGCTCTTATTTAATTGCAGTGTGAAAGAATAATTGTGTCACCAACTCCAAACTCAACCCAGAATAGAGGCATATTAAAACATCGTGAAACTTATAATAAGGAAAAGAGCACACCAGCTTCCCTGAGGCCATATAACTTACAACTATAAGAGATCTTCACATGTAACAACCTAACTGTTTGAATCAGAGATTAAATGCTACCCAACAGAAGATATCTATTTATTATGAATCTATCCAACTCTTGAAAGAACACCACCCCAAAGTAAAGAGTAAAGACAAAACAAAGAATGAGCTTTAGTCCAAGTAAAGGAAGCAACATACGTGAGTTTGACATTTCTCCACCATACAGTGCTTCTGAAACGGCGTGCCTGCTTTCTGAAGCGGAAAGTATTCCCTTGCATATTAGCTGTTTTATCAACCAGCAACTCCAAACGATCACCTCTCTCTAGAACTTTATCAATATTCTCAATCATGACATTGCGCACCTGTTACATGGCACATACATCTTCAGACTTCTTAGTTAATACCAAAATATAGTGGGTGGTAACTTTATCCGAAAAACATAATGGCTGGTACATATGATTAGCTGAAAGTTTCTAGTTTGTAAAAGCAGACAAGTGAAGCTGTAAAAATTGCTTTTAATCAGGGGCGGATCTATGTAGTAGATTTGGGGTGGAACGCCACCAAGTCGCTCGGATAAAATTTTAAGTATGTACTTGTATTTTACATTAACAAGAGTATATATTTGAAGCTTGGCACAAGAAGAAACAAATAGACTCCAGGTGCCATGGTTAAATAGCTAAACCTCTAAGTGAAGGATGCAAGATCGAATCCCACTAGATTCCACCAAAACTAGTTTTCTAATCCGTGTTGTTACATGTTCCATTTTCTTTCTGCTCCTTTGCTCAATTTTTATAAATTTCTTCATCTTTGTATTTCCTCTCTCTGTACAACCTGATTATTATTATTTATTAAATTATATTTTTCCTTCCGTATTTTTCAAAATCTTCAAAAATTTATTTGAATGTGACTTTAGTTATTTTCTCCTTTTATCCATCTAATGTGATTTCCAAAATTTTCTAAAATGATTGCTCCAATAGACATAATATTAATCTAGCTATATGAAGACTGAAGGGGTGTATTTGCTATTTAAAAGTTTATATTTATTTTACGTTTTAATCACATTTTTAATAGAATTTGAATCGAGAGAATTAGATCGAATCGGACTAAACTTATTCAATTTGGTGGTCATATATTTTTTTATGCGCCAAAAATCTTGTAAAATAAAAATGAATTAATTTAAAGTAACCAACCGAACCGAATCAATTCAAAACGGATCAAACCTACTAAATGTATACCCTAATCCAATCTCCTTCACTAATGGTAGACAATGGCACCCGTAGTCATCAAATCCTAGATCCGCCTCTGCTTTTAATCACCGCAAATAGTCAATACAATAAGAGCTTCATTAAATAAATGCACAAGGACTATTGATGATATCAAGGGAAACATGTTGCCATATTGATGAGGTAATTATGGAAATATTCAGTCGTGACATTCAGTGGCAGGAAATTACATCGAAAGGTGCATGCCTCTTAGATTGAGAAACTGTGGATTCTTGCACAAGCCATCATCTAGNTGTTGATTCTTGCACAAGCCATCATCTAGCACATAAGCTTCCTAAACAACATTGAGAACTGACCTGACTCATTTCACCTTTTAGCCTGTTTATTCTGTCGGCATTTGGATCACTAGAGAAATAGTCCATTTGCTGACTAAGGACCCTTGAGAATTCATCATTCATGCCATAAGCTTGTGCAGAGAGAACTGCTCGGCCATAGGTCCTCACAAATCTTTGATGAATTTCTTCAAGAAAAGCAAAAGGAATTCTCCCTGCAAAGGAGTTTATCCAAATATATGACAATGTTCAAGGCAACAGATCAATAATGTAAAATGAAATTTTGTGGTGTTAATATAAGAGCTAAACCACCAGCTAAAATATTCGAACCAAATAAAAGGAGAAATCAACATACATCTATCTATAAATCTTGTTCTTTTTGAAAAGAATAAATTAAGAAAAGGAGCTTACAGGGTGTACTACTTGATACAAAACCAACGAAATTCAATGTAAAAAATATTGAAGAAAGAGATTAGAATGAATGTCCACAAAAACAGAACTAAAGTACAAGTATATTGTAAGAAGAGCAAAATACGCTGCAGGACATTATCCAGTTAGATTTCTGTAACTAAAAACCACAAGGCTGCGAAGACTACACTCACTTGGCAATTTTGTTTTTCTATGATTAATAAAATGGATTTAAAGCTAAGGAATGAGTCCCAGTGAGAGGAGTCCTTTTTCCAATATACCCTTTCACTCACTCACTGAAGTACAGTTATCCTAAGATAACTGCATGAATTCCATGCTAACTTAGCCCGACTTGCTGCTGGTGACGGTATTGCACATCAACAATATCACTCCAATCTTTTTGTGTTAAAGCTTAGAATGACATTTGGGATTAGCTGCATAGACAATGAAGCACATATGGGTATCACATGATATTTGAAGCCCCACTATTTCCAAATAGTATAGGTAGCAGATCCTAGTAAGCATGGAATCTTGTTAAGGTAATTTTGCACATATAATTAAAATCAGGAAAAGGTACAAGTCAGGGTAGAAGTATCTCATTACCTTCTCCTATTCATTAAGGGGAAAATTTACAGGCTACCACTGCAGCGGGACAAAAATTGCTTATCCCCATTCCCTGTTTCTATCTATAGAGACATGTTGCCATGCCTAAAGCCACATTATGTCAGAAACTATGAAGTAGGTTCCATATTATGAAATTGCAAGGATGACAAGCACAACTTATACAAAGGTAACTAGAAGCAAAACTACAAC